TAATTCACTACAAAAATTTTCAACAAATTCTTTTGTAGGCTTTATAAAAGTTTCTAAACTACTTCTCAGTTTTGATATCCAATACTTATATGTAATATTTTCGATCTCCTGATTCTCAAAATTAGGTAGGTATAGCGTAAAATCGATGTTTCTGATACATCTCAAGACTCGATTACTTCACAGTTTCTATAGAGAGGACGATTACTTATCAAGTGATATTGAAAGTTGAAAATTTTTACAACGGTGGTGAGTACAGTGCTTTGATGCCTGATATGAAAGACTTTGTTTCGGTTCGAAATAATGATGGTAATCGAGTACCCGTCCAAAAAAGGCTTATCCTGTCTAACTTAAAAGAACTATACTAATGTTTTCGTGAAGTAAACTCCAAATTTTTTCGTGAGTAATATTTAATTTCAAATGCACAAACATATAAAAAAACGCTTATGTCTTAAGTTCTAAAAATTTTAGGTATTCAATTACATATGACCAGTACGTTAAAAAAGATTTTCATTAAGTTTTAAACTTGCTACTAACTTTTTTCATGTTTTTAATAAAGTTATAAACAGTACTTGGAGTTTTTTGATTTCATATTTTTTTGTAAAAAACGATTATTTTTTTTCATAGTCTTATGAACGTGGACTTGGCGCGGTTTTTTTTACAGCGAAACTGTTTTTGTTCGGATAATGTTGTACCTGGCTTTCGCTTCTTTGACTAACACTTGTTTCTTTTGCGTTCAACATATTCTTCCCACTTATAATCCACTGTGCTGCGACTGTGGCCGACTTACGCATTATAATCAGTACCTGCATTTGCATTACGGCCTTAAATAGTATGGGGGTACTTCTATAATGACAATTTACCTCCATAGCTATACGGGAAAACCACAGAAAACCCGGCCGGTACAGAGGCTGGCACCGTAACACACTTATTCTTTTATTTATAATCAGTGATTATTAATCACTAAAAAATGTTGGTGCATGCCGGAATCGAACCCGGGTTCCACTCTTTCAAAATGTAGGCATCGAGCCGATTAGGCTATTGCCAGCCTTTTTGAATTTATTCTTTATTTTTCCATATTGTGGAGACTGTAGAGTGACAAAATCCAAAGCGTCTGCCAACATCACTTATCTTCTCTCTAGTTTCTATTGCACGTATCAGTAAAACTTTTTCGTCAATACACAGTGATTTTCTTTTATTAGCCATGTTTACAGTTTGAAAGCTTGTGAGCAACTAAGAATATGATAATGATAAGGTATAGAAAATCCATGACTCCTACTTATTAGTCATGTTGAACAACAGTCTACACGTGCAAGCTATTCCAATTTGTAAACAAAAAAAAGAATTTCTTAGAAAGTTCGGTATCCATGATGCCACTTAATTGTTGTCGTTATTGAGAGTGAGTGTAATGCTATATAGAGTGTATCATTGTATGAAAGATAAGCTAAACTAACCAAAGATAAGTGATTTCGACGCTTCAAGGAGTTTGTCGTTATATAGAGTTTACACTGTATAATTAGTACGGATGAAACAGATCTTCGACGTACTTTTTTTGGCTTAACCTTGTCCTACTTCTCTTTTGCGTAATTTCAATTTCTAGACACTACTTAGTTTCTCCTAGATCCTTGATCCCAAATTCCTTTTTGAGACCCCGTTTCAGGTTTGCGATTCAATGTTTGTCATGTGACGTTAAAACAGTAAGTCCTTGGTCAGGCTAAGTGAGCTCCTGGCCAGATACCTAAAGTCTTGCGCCCGAGATTTTTCTGGACGCCACCACGAGAAACAAGATAGAAGGGAGCTTAGCCTCTTAGAACCGAGCTTTTTGTTGTCGGAGCTCACTCTTAGAATGTGGAACAATCCACTATTAGGTCGCTTACTAATAATTTTAGTTGATAGTAAGTCAGTGTAAATTATTAAACAGGGATCTGAGCAATCCAAAATTTATTTTGAAAAAGCTATTGCAAAATTTGTTTGATTGCATTCAATTAACTAACAAAGAAACCAGAGAAACTATTTATTTTTCGTCGGTCACGTGCGTTTTCCAGCTGAGTTAGGCGCGTAGTGATCATCGCGCCGCAATGTTATCAAAATATTGGACAACAGCGACATATAGTCGTAGCGAAATTTAAAAAAAATTAGAAAAACGGTTGACTCTAAAGGCCATCCCTGCAACTTTCCGCTAATTCCATAACTAGGTGCTTAACATTGCACTTATGACGTTTTCGAGCTCTTCGAGCTCAAAAATACAAGTTATGTGTTATTTTGAGCTCTGCGAGCTCAAAAGTCTTATCAAAATTCGATGAAACACGATTTTTCTAATTTTCAAACTACTGTAAATTTTTAATAAATCAACCGATTTTCACGCGGTAGACGGCGATCGATGTGGTTTTTTGAGCTCTATAAATGATTCTGAACAAAAAAATTGATCTGATGAAAAATTTCGGAGTTATTATAAAAAAACACTTTTTTCTATGTGGCGATCGATGCGGGATTTCAAGGTTAAGAGCTGATTAGTTTTTGAAGTTGATCGGTTCTGCCAATTCGGAGATATTTAAAAAAAATGAAAAAAAAAAAAACAACTTTTTTTGTCAGATATTTTTCACTTTTTTTGCAATTTCTTGAGATCTACTGGTCCGAATCGGTTCCAACTTACAGGAAATTTAAGTTTGGCGAAGCCCTTTCGGATGACACCAACCACGATGAAATCGGTCAAGCCATTCAAAAGTGACGAGAGGTTTACACACATCCACACACACACACACACACACACACACACACACACACACACACACACACACACACACACACACACACACACACGCAGCTCCAACATTATTCCTAGACGCTTATAATGCATGCCTCAAGGAGGGGACTTTTCCTCGTAAGTGAAAACAGCAAGGTACTGTTACCTAAAGGGAAGAAACCACCAGAAGAACTGTCATCTTACCGATCACTTTGCATGCTAGATACGGCGGGTAAGATATTTGAGCGCATAATTCGTCAACGAATAAATGCAGTAGTCGACCCACTCCTGGCAGACAACCAGTATGGATTCCGGAAAAAACGATCAACCCTGGACGCGATCAATCTGGTTGTTAGCAGGGCTAAAGAAGCGATCGCAGGAACCAGATGGAAGGGTGGCACAAAGAAGTATTGCCTGGTGGCGGCATTAGACATTAAAAACGCCTTCAATTCCGCCAACTGGAATTGCATCATGCAAGCTCTTCGAGAGAAAAACGTTCCAGAATACTTGTGAAGAATAGTGGCCAGCTATTTCACCGATAGAGTTCTTAAATACGACACGAAGAATGGTCCAAAAGAGTACGATATTACCGGAGGTGTACCCTAGGGCTCTGTACTTGGTCCACTGCTGTGGAATATCATGTACGATGGCCTATTGAGATTGAAATTGCCAAGAAGTGTAAAACTCGTAGCGTATGCAGACGACGTAGCCGTAGTTATCGTCGCTAAACACCTTGACGAGATTAACAACATGTTCGACATCACCTTCGAGAGAGTCCATCGGTAGATGAATACGGTAAACCTGCATCTGGCTACACTAGGGTGGGCCAAAAAAAACTTTTATTTTTTTTTTTTTCATTTCATACACAAAAACTTGTTCCTAGGCACCTTTAGAAAGTACTCACCCAGTATGGGCTCCTAATATTAATGGGAACATTATCCTCATCATAGTTTTATATTTTCAACTTAGTTTGGTATTGAAATGGTCATATCTCCATCAACAATTGCTTATCAAGCCCGTACCATCGTCAATATTTATAGCAAATTAAATGCTCTACAAAAATGGTATCTTACACTTTTTCGATAAATCTTACCATTTAAAAGATATTTAAGGTCAAAAATTAAAGAATTAAAAAAAAAATAACTTTTTTTTCTGAATTTTGTTACTGACTGAGTAATAATTATTATTATTGAATAAACTGCATTGATTATTGTAGGAAATTTAACGCTCTACAAAAATGGTCTCTTATACTTTTTCGATTACTCGAACCGTTTCGAAGATATTCCCATTCGAATTCCAATATGCACTGATATTCATAATTTTTTGATAATTATTTTTAATTTACACATTTAATTTATCAATTTTGACAATATTAATAATAATTTTAGTTTATTTTGATGGAGTGACAGTTTCCGAGTTATATTTTATCCTTTTTTGGAATTTTCTTTTAATAATTTTATTCTTATCACAATTAAAGATCGTAATTCAATATTTCTCCACAGGCTGATTCAAAATGTAACACAATTTTTTTTTCCACAAAATTTATAATTAAATATTTTATTCCTGGGGTTTTAGTTTTAAATATTGGTAGTTCTGTTATTCATTACTTGTCATACTAGCGCCATCTGTGGGTTTATGTCATTTCTATATTTTCTCTTATATTTCTACTTTCTACATTGTGTACAAAGTCTTTGGAGCTTCTGAGTTGTGTCTTCTTGTGTATAACTATAACTAAATAATTAACAGCTATGATTTAATATATTTCCAATAATTGTGAATTACCTGATATTTACCTAATATGAATAAAGAAATCCCTTTAATCGGCAAGCCGATGCCAAAAATTCTCGAAGTTAAATTACCTACAGTGAAAGAGGTTATGTGTGTCTTTTTTCATCATCTGAATTTTCTTAAATATTCTGTGAAACAAAGTGCTAAAAATGTAGCTGGTGAGGTTATACAATTATGGAAAAAAAATGACATTCCGACTTCTGGTTCTAATAATGTAGTGCAAAGAATCATTCGATGTCATGACAAATGGAAAAGCTTACAAAAAAACTTTACACGTAAAAAATCGCCAGCACAAAAAAAGAAACAATCAATATTTCAGAATGGACTAAAAATTTTATTCGATATAGTTGATCAAAAGTCTTTAAAGTTGCTCGATAACCGTATCAAAGATATATATTTGAATCAAAAAAGCGGCACTCGGAAAGAATTTATCCATCACAATATACAAACTCCTATCATAAATGAAGAGTTGATGGAAGTAGAAGAAACCAGTAAGTCTGACAAATTTTTTATAAAGTAGATAATTCTTCATTGTAATTCGTAATTGTATTGGATAGATTTAAAAAAAAATTAAAACTGTTTTCTTATAGGTCCAAGTCAACCTTCATCATCTTGCCCCACGATTATTGCCAGTGAAAAGTCAGTATTGTTGTCGGAGCAATCATTAAGTTTAGCTACTAATTTTGGTTCGGATTTATCGTATGAACCTCCAATGCCGGTTGTAAAAACACCAAAAATTAATGTTTTAACTGCAGAGCTCATTGCTGTACTTGACAGAACTAATGTCAGTAGTAGAAATGCAATGTTTATTATAACTGCTGTTCTGTCAAGTGTTGGCATCAAAGTGGAAGAGACAACTCTGAGTTACAGAACAATTCAACGAGCTCGCATGATAGTACGGAAAGAGATTGCTGTAGGATTGAAAAATGATTTTAAATCACACGATAAGTACGTCATACACTGGGATGGAAAATTACTGCAGGATATTGTTGGATCAAAAAGCGTAGATCGGCTGCCAGTTCTCCTTACGGCGTTTGGCGTTGAACAATTACTAGGAGTCTCAAAAATGGACTCTGGATCAGCACAGAATCAAACAACAGCTATTTTGAGGACTTTGGATGAATGGGGTCTTAGTCGCTATGTAAAGGCTATGTGTTTTGACACAACTGCTGTGAACACAGGTAACTATAATTAAAGGTTTATGATGTTTAAGCAATATCAAGATTTTTTCTCGATCCAATTCTTTTTATCCAGTTATGTGTTTAAATTTAGGAACAAATTGATTATATTTTTTCATTAGTTTTTTCTAAATAAGTAATAAAGTTTTTAAATTCTGTTATTTTACATTCTGTTATTACCTTACAGGAATTCATAACGGAACATGTGTAGAAATTGAAAAAGCTCTAGGAAGAGAGTTAATTTACTTGCCATGTCGCCATCATATTTATGAACTCATTCTGAGAAGTGCATTTGAAGTCTATTGGCCAACATCATCAGGACCCAACGTACCGATATTTGGAAGATTCAAAAAGAAGTGGGACGAAATTGATAAGACCAATTATAAAGCTGGTATTGAAGATCTAAAAGTCGCTAATGTTGTTTTGAGTAAAAAAAATGAAATATCATCTTTCATCACACAATGCTTGCAAGTATGTTTAAAATATAGTTATAAATTATGAATATAGAATTGGATTGGTCATTTTTTATATGAATTTACTTGTTTTGTTTGCTAGTTGAAACAACCACGAGATGATTACAAGGAGTTTTTAGAATTGTCACTAATTTTCCTTGGAGTGGTCCCTGAAGATAATGTTTGTTTTAAGTACCCTGGTGCAATCCATCATGCGAGATGGATGGCGAAAGCCATTTATAGCCTGAAAATATTTATTTTTAGAGATGAGTTTGGTCTCACTGCCAAAGAATTGAATAATTTGCGGCAGATTTGCATTTTTACAATAATGGTATATTTGAAAGCTTGGTTTTCATCAACTTCTGCGATTGCAGCTCCGAATCACGATTTAGAAAACAACTAATCGAATATAAAGAAATTGATGCCTCAATTTCTTCAGCAACTTGCGAAAAGATGACTTCACATTTGTGGTATTTAAATCATGAACTCGCCGTTTTATCACTGTTTGATGACGCTGTACCACTAATTTGAAAAAGAGGATAGTAGACGCTGTAAAAACTCGAGATAGTATAGATTCTAAAGTTAAGAGATTTGAGATTGACCGAAAGAACATCAATTCGATTATTCAAAAAGATTTGAGTGATTTCGTTTCACAAAAATCATTAAATTTGTTCAAAATCTTTGATCGACCATATGATTTTCTTGATGTCGATATTGAACTATGGAAATTGGATGAGAGTTATAAAGAAAATGAAGAATATTTCAAGCAATTGAAAGTTGTTAATGACGTTGCAGAGCGTGGAGTAGCGTTGGTATCTGAATACAATCAGTGTGTGACAAAAAACGAACACCAGTTTCAATATTTACTGCAAGTTGTCAAAGAACATAGAGCGAAATTCCCTAACTGTAATAAAAGTCAATTTTGATAACTAAATCTAAAAAAATTAATATATTTTTGTATTATTATTATATTAAAATATAAAATTTCATATGATGAAACCGAATTTTTTATTCTAGTTATGTACCCAATAATAATTCTTGAATAAGAAACTTTCTGAATCATGAATTATCTAAAAATTGATAAATTGAATGTGTAAATTGAAAATAATTATCAAAAAATTATGAATATCAGTGCATATTGGAATTCGAATGGGAATATCTTCGAAACGGTTCGAGTAATCGAAAAAGTATAAGAGACCATTTTTGTAGAGCGTTAAATTTCCTATAATAATCAATGCAGCTTATTCGATAATAATTATTACTCAGTCAGTAACAAAATTCAGAAAAAAAAGTTATTTTTTTTTTAATTCTTTAATTTTTGACCTTAAATATCTTTTAAATGGTAAGATTTATCGAAAAAGTGTAAGATACCATTTTTGTAGAACATTTAATTTGCTATGAATATTGACGATGGTACGGGCTTAATAAGCTATTGGTGATAGAGATATGACCATTTCAATACCAAACTAAGTTGAAAATATAAAACTATGATGAGGATAATGTTCCCATTAATATTAAGAGCCCATACTGGGTGAGTACTTTCTAAAGGTGCCTAGGAACAAGTTTTTGTGTATGAAATGAAAAAAAAAAAAATAAAAGTTTTTTTTGACCCACCCTAGGCTACACACAAAACTGAGGCAGTGCTTATATCCAGCAGAAAAGTGTTAGAGACCATCAAGCTGAAAGTCGGCGAACAAGAAATCACATCACAACCTTATATCCGATATTTGGGAGTGATGCTTGATGCCCGACTCAACTTCAAGCAGCAGGTAGAACACGTTAGTGCCAAAGCATCAGTAGTAAGAGTTAGCCTCGCACGATTGATGCCGAACGTCGGAGCCCCAAAGCAGAGCAGGAGACTACTACTACTATCATCAGTTGTCACATCGGTGCTCACATATGGAATATCCATTTGGGCAGACGCGCTGAAGTTGCAAGAATCATGGAGAAAAGCTGGACCAGTATATCGACTGAGCGCTGTAAGACTAGCCAGTGCATTCCGCACGATATCAGAAGTAGCAGTGTGTGTCATTTCAGGAACTTTGCCGCTCAGAGTTCTAGCTGAGGAAAGACGGAACCTTTACCAACAAAAGAGGTCAACCGCACTAAGTGCCGAGGAACTTAGAGCTGAAGAACGGCAGAACAGCATCGCACGATGATAATCGCAGTGGGACGCCGCGACAACAGGAAGATGGACACACCGTCTCATACCGAAGATCGACATTTGGCTAAACCGGAGTCATGGCGAGGTCAATTACTATCTGACGCAGATGTTGTCAGGACATGGATGTTTTCGGACGTATCTTCACCGCTTCAAGCATGATGATTCACCGAAGTGCCCGTCCTGCCCAGGAATCAATGAAGACGCGGAGCACGTTTTCTTTGAGTGCCCACGATTTTACCCGCAGCGAGATGAGCTGGAGATAATCCTGAAGAAGAAAATCCAACCAGAGACAATAGTAGAAGCAATGCTGTCATCAGAGGATGCCTGGAACGCCACAAACACGTTTGCAACAGAAGTCCTTATAGACTTGCGTTCCATCGAAAGAAAAAGAGCAAATTACAACAACTAGAAGAAAGGTAAAATAATACCTTAGTTACCAGAAAGAAGAGCAGTCGCTATATCCTCCCCCCACGAAGTAATGCCTAACGGCGGTTTCCATGAGGGATTAGAGGAAAGAGGAAAGGGGTTTAGGGTTTAGTGGGTAGGGGCGCTAGCGTCGAGTTTTGGTATGACGCTGCGTCGAGTCGCCACATATCCAGGCCAAACAACTACGCCTAGAATCCGTAAAAAGGATCCCCCCCCCTAATGGGAAAAAACACACACACACACACACACACACATACAGACGTACGGACATCATCGTGAAAATAGTCAGGAAAGCTTCCTAGGACCTCGAAACGTCGAGATCCAATGAAAACTCGATTTTCGAAAAACGGGGTAAAACTTCCCGATTTTTGAAAATTTTCAATTTTCTTAGCGGGAAGTTAAAAATGATGACGTGTCGTGGGACACCAAGTAGGAACGAAGTTCCTTCGGATAATATAAAAGCAACACATTTTGGTAAAAAAAAGTTTCCTAATTATATATATTTTCTTGATTTTTAACTTCCTGCTAAGAAAATTGAAAATTTTCAAAAATCGGGAAGTTATTGTTTTTACCCCGTTTTTGCAAAATCGAGTTTTCATCTGATCTCGACGTTTTGAGGTCCTAGGGAGCTTTCCTGACTATTTCCGCGATGGTGTCTGTATGTATGTATGCATGTATGTATGTATGTATATATGTATGCATGTATGTATGTATGTATTTATGTATGCACGTATGTATGTATGGTTGTACCACGAAATCTCCCCGGACAAAATCTCCCCGACAAAATCACCCCACGACAAAATCTCCCCACGACAAAATCTCCCCACGACAAAATCTCCCTGACATAATCTCCCCAAGACGAAATCTCCCCGACATAATCTCCCAACAACAAAATCTCACTAAGAAAATCTCTCTTAACTAATTTTAAAAATTTATTATAATTTAAATATTTTATGATTATTTTATTACCTTTGCTTGTGACCGTGTTGCACCCTTTTAACATGGTTTTTGTGTGTGTATATTCGACATTAGACCAACACAAACGCGGATAATCGTTTTTGAACAGCTTATGTTTTTTTTTTTTTTTTTTAATATTTCATAATTAAGTGAGCATTATAAGTCGTGCACTTTTTGATTTCCCAAACTTTTTATTTTTATTATAAATTTTGTGTAGTGGGGAGATTTTGTCGCGGGGGGATTTTGTCTTGGGGAGGTTTTGTCGGGGAGATTTTGTCTTGGGGAGATTTCGTCGCGGGGAGATTTTAGGGGGGAGATTTTGTCGGGGAGATTTTTTCCGGGGAGATTTTGTCGTGTCACCTGTATTATGTATGTATGTATTAGAGTGTTTCAAAAAAACAAGCTATTTTTTTTTTCGAAGAACTTTAAAAATTCTTCAGAGTATCCCTAATCAAAGACATTGTGAAAATCTTAGCCCTTAATATTAATGTATAGAGGTGGCAGTAATTAATTTTTTATTTCCATTTAAATAACATAAAAAAATTTTTTTTTTACTTTTGAATTTTGCTAGTCGACAACGAAGCATTTTATAACTATGATCGTTACATATTCTTGTAGGAAATTTAACGATCTACAAAAATTGTCTGAATGAATATATGCGTACGGAGAACCATTTCGGAGTTATCAGGCCTCAAACATCGAACTGTTTAAAAAATAATAATATTTATTTATAAATACGAAAAATTGACTTGAATCATATAAATAAACAATATTATATATCAAAAAATTAAAATAATAAATTTATAATAAAATTTCATGAATTATGAAGTTATAATTTTTTACTATTTTTAAAAAATTTTTTGCTTTTTTAAAAATAAATTCTAAACATGAAAAAGAAAATTATTTATTAATTGATAAAATTTATTAATTATCGTATTTTTTAAATTGTCATGTACTGTTATTAACGAAATAGTTTTAAAAATTCTAGGTTATGTAATTTAACTCAGTGCTATATAGTTACATAGTACTTCAATTGAACAATCAATTTTTATTGAATTGTTAGTATGATTTTTATAGAAATGATAGTACATTAATTATTTCCGCTTTCTACCGTCACAAACCTGTCTCTCTCAGAGCTTTTTCATCTTACATTACTTCGTAGTAAAACAACGTAATTGTCAATGTTTTAAACTAAAATTAGTTTAATATTATATTTAATTTATTTATAATTATTTGTAATTGTGTTTATAAAATCTCATTGTTAAGCTTAAGATGGAGAAGCAAATTTATTTAATTGGTTATCAAATTACAAAATTTGTAGGAAGTAAACTGCCGAGCTTAAAAGAGGTTATGTTTCTTTTCTTTCATTATCATTGTTCTCAAAGCTTGACTATTAAGAAAAGTGCATTAATTACGATTGAGAATGTATTCGATTTATCGTCTGAAGCTGGAATTCCGACTTGTGCGAAAAATTCTGCAGTAAGAATACTCATTCGCCATCACACTGTTGGGAAAAATTTGCTAAAAAATAAAAATCAAAAGCTGTCATCTACTCAAAAAAAAAAAGTTTCTATTTTTTGTGCCGATATTGAGAAATTATTCGACATAGCACATCACAAAGTAATGAAACTCATTAATGAAAATCAAAAGTTATTTTTGCAAGGCCAAATCGACGAGGTTTTCTCCACATTAATCCTCCAGTAAAAACGGTAGCTAATAATATTGATGAAGATAGAATTGGTGAGTGATTTTCATTTTTAATTGTAATCTAGGGTAAATAGCACAAAAATCCTCAAAAAATAGTCATTTATAAACCTAGCATTATTTCATTTCCACAAAATTTTTTAAAGATAATTTTATTATCAGCAAAAAAAATTACGTATCTTCTTACTGATTTTTTATGCACGAAGTATTTATTGAATTCTAACAATTGAATAAAATTATGTTTTTAAACGTTTTTTTTCAGTATTACCTTTTCTTAAATTGGTCAGTAATTATTTTGAATATTTCTAGTTATTCTTGAAAACAAGTTAAATAATAAACATTTTTCTTTTTTATTTTTATAAAATTATTTAGAAATCCTGACTAACCTGAATGTCTCACACTTATTTTCTGTGCGTAACTTATACTGTGTCTGATATATTTTAAAATTTTTGGTTTTCTTTCAATCTCCGAGGATTCAAAAGTTAAACTTTTTATATTTTGCAGACGAAATTCAATGTGATAAGAATAATACTGGATTATTATTAAGTCAAAAAACAGATTCAAGTTTAAGTCGAACTTCAAACGCAACATCTGATTTCGAAGATGATATAGAGGTTTCACGGAGCGAAAAAAACTTGAAATAATCACGCCTAAACTTGTCAGTGCATTGGATCGTGCAAATGTAAGTAGCAGAAATGCTACTTACATTGTAGCTGCTACTTTAATCAGCGCGGGACTCGATATAAGTCAATATAATTTGAGTCACTCAACCATCCATCGTCAGCGTGAATTATCGAGAAAAAGTACAATGGCAAATTTACAACAAAATTTAAAAGTTGATAAATGCGTTTTACACTGGGATGGGAAGATAATACCTGACATTGAAACGCGCCAAGATGTGGACAGATTACCAATCGTATTATCAGCTTCGGGACAAGAAATACTACTTGGTGCTCCCAAAATTGACTCTGGAACTGGGGAAAATTAAGCCTCAGCGATTATTTCTGTCCTGACTGAATGGTCTATCACTGACAGTATTACAGCATTATGTTTTGATACTGCGGCTGTAAATACAGGTTTTTATCAAATTATAATAGATCTGTATTTACGTAAAATCGAAGTTGAACAAATTCTATGCTATAAATTTAGATATATCTGAAACTTTTTTTCCTCTACTTTATTTGCTTAAGCGGGTCTTCTGGTTTGACGTCCTGATTTTTGTGAATTTTTTTGGGATTTTTTTGTAAAGACCAATGAAGAGGTAGAACTTTGAACTTTTACCATTTATTTATATATATTTCAAGAGTATACAGTTAAATATTTAGCTAAAAACATTTAGTAGAATTAAAGTTAAGTGGCTAGAAGATACCCGCCTCGAAAAAAATTGATGCTTACTTCCTCCATGATATCAGCTGATTAGCATATGTGAAATAAAAAAACCCGGCGGAGTTTTAATTTGTATACTCAAATACACCGGGTGGACTAAGATCAAAAAAAAATTTTGAAAATTGGATTTTTGACAGACTTCGGAACAAAAAAATTCGAAATTCATTTTTTTTGTCAACTTCTTGATACAAAAAGAATAGAAATCAAAAAAAAATTTTTTTTTATCGTGAACCAATCGGTGTATTTGAGAATACAGATTAAAACCCCGTCGGGTTTTTTTGTTTCAGATAAGCCAATCAGCTGATATCATGGAGGAAGTGAGCGTCAATTTTTGTCGTGGCGAGTGTTTTCAGACCACTATAACTTTAATTCTACTGAATGTTTTTAGTTGAAAATTTAACTGTATACTCTTGAAATATCTATAAATAAATGGTTAAAGGTTCAAAGTTCTATCTCTTCATTGGTCTTTACAAAAAGATTCCCAAAAAAATGCACAAAAATCAGGGCATCAAACCAGAATACCCCCCATAACTCAAATAATAATTTTTTTTTTGTTTTTATTGTTTCAGCTAATGTATTGGTTATTTATTTTGTTATTTATCAGTACTTATATTTAAATTTGTAATTCATGGTTTTTTTAAGGAATTCACAGTGGTGCATGTGTCCTCGTTGAACAAGCACTAAGAAGAGAGTTGACTTATTTACCATGCCGTCATCACACTATTGAGCTAGTTTTAAGATCCGCATTTGAAACTTATTGGCCTACATCTTCAGGTCCAAATGTTTCGATTTTTACTCGGTTCAAAAACAAATGGAGTGATATTGATCAACAAAAATATACTACTGGGATTTCAGATAGAGAAGTTCAAGAAGCCCTTGCAGATATAAAAGATGAAATCCTAATACTTATTGCTAATTACTTACAAGTAATGTTGATTATGGTTCTTGGTGTTGTAGATTTCTCAACCAAGAGGAGATTACAAGGAGCTTCTGGATTTAGCTCTGATTTTTTTGGGAGCTTCGCTATCTGACGGAGTAGTTTTTAAATATCCTGAAGCTGTTCATCATGCAAGGTGGATGGCAAAAGCGATTTATAATTAAAAAATATTCATGTTTAGAAATCAGTTAAAGCTAACAAAGACCGAAATTGTAGGAGTCCGTCAAATTTGTATTTTTGTGATAAAATTTCACATAAAAGCGTGGTTTTCAGCAACGTCAGCGATAACAGCGCCAAGTAATGATTTATTGCTGATAAAAAATTTGCTTCTCGACAAAAAAATTAATTCAGCTATTTCAAAAAAGACATCTGAGAAAATGGCTAATCATCTATGGTACCTTTCTGAAGAATTAGCAGCTTTGGCTTTATTTGATTTCACCGGAAATAAAAATTAGAATGGTAACTGCTATAAAGTCCCGAGATAGTAGTATATTAAATAAAAAGCGCTTCATAATCAATAAGAATAAGTTGAATACGTTATTAACAAAAGATCTAAGTCATTTCGTTTGTAAAAGATCATTGGTGTTATTTGAACGATTTGGATTGTCTACTGAGTTTCTTGATGTCGACATCACTTTATGGGCTAGTCACAGAAGCTTTCAAGAAAATATTCAATTTTTTAGTTCATTAAAAGTAGTGAATGACGTTGCTGAGAGGAATGTTGCATTAATTACTAAATATAATCAGCATTTAACTAACAGTGAAGAACAATTTCAAGGTTTGCTACAAACGGTAAAAAAACATAGAAAAGACTTTCCGAGCTGTTCTAAAAAAAACTTTATGTAAATTGTACTATTGAAGGTATATTTACTATAAATTCGTAATACATCTGTAATTTTTTAGCGCTGTTCAGTGAAATTAGTCAATAATCAATAATTAATAAAAACTTTTCATCAAAAACCTCTTAGAAATTTATCATTTTAATTTTTTGATATATAATATTGTTTATTCATATGATTTAAGTCGATTTTTCGTATTTATAAATAAATATTATTATTTTCTTAAACAGTTCGATGTTTGAGGCCTGATAACTCCGAAATGGTTCTCCGTACGCATATATTCATTCAGACAATTTTTGTAGATCGTTAAATTTCCTACTAGAATATGATTCGATCATAGCTATAAAATGCTTCGTTGTCGATTAGCAAAATTCAAAAGTAAAAAAAAATTTTTTTCGATGTTATTTAAATGGAAATAAAAAATTAATTACAGCCACCTCTATACATTAATATTAAGGGCTAAGATTTTCACAATGTCTTTGATTAGGGATACTCTGAAGAATTTTCAAAGTTCTTCGAAAAAAAAAAAATAGTTTGTTTTTTTGAAACACTCAAGTATGTATGTATGTATGTATGTTTTTTTTTTTTTTTTTTTATATAGAGGAGGTAAAATACATTTACGTATGTCAAGACTTGGTGTTGGTGCCTGGGTATGTCGGACTCAGAAGTCAATATTATTTTGCAACAATACCGACTAAACATCCTGTCTCTCCTACTTCTTGTTACTACTGGTTTCCAATCCCTTTCTGCGATTTTTTCTTTTAAAAAGCGCTGCGCGTAAGCTGCGACAGCTGACCAGTTTTTTTCTTTTTTGATCATGCAGGTTATCAAGCTCTCAAGGGAGAGCGTTGTGCCTATTGTTTCTTCGGTGCTGATTCTGTCGTCCTTCCACCGATCACACTCGAAAAACGTGTGCTCGACGTTGTCAATTTTGTCTGGGCAGTATTTGGACGTTGGTGTGCTGTGCAAATCCATCTTGAAAAGATAGGCATTGAACTGCCCATGTCCCGTCAATAGCTGGGTCAGGAAGAAGTCCGTGTCCCCGTGCTTTCGAGAAAGCCAGACGTTGATGTTTGGGATCAGGCGCGCTGTCCATCTGCCCGTCTCTCCCGATGTCCATCGGTCCTGCCACTTCTGCTGCGTTTCCACCTTTATCCTCATTCTTGCGTTCTTCATGTTTTCGTCACTATCTATAGCGTCATAGAGTTTAGCTCTCTCGAACGCTAATAGGTCGATGGGCGTGGCTCCCGCAATGACCAATACAGCCACTTCAGAAACTGTGCGGTAGGCGCAGGCAACCCTGAGAGCGCCTCGCCGCTGTACTGCTGCTATCTTACGCCGGTAGGTCTTCTGCATTAATATATCTGCCCATATCTCCGCTCCATAAAGCAGTACCGAGTGGACTGCTTCTAGAAGAACTCTTCTCTTTTTTGTTCTTGGTCCCATGGTGTTGGTCATAATTCTTGCTAGGCTAGACACCGTCTTGCTAGCTTTCTGGCATGCATTATTGAGGTATTCGCGAAAAGATAATTTCTCGCCTATCATTACCCCCAGATAGCGCAGGGCCCTTGTTGACGTTACTGTTGTTCCTCCCATGTCCACAGCGAATGGTGTTGGGAACCATTTTAGATGAGTCAGAACCAGAACGACCATCTCAGTTTTGTGCTTGGCAAGTTTCAGGTGGTGTTAATCAAGCCAAGTCTCGACGGCATCAATGGTTTCCCGAACTAGTAGTTCGGCATCCTCTACGCTGTCTACTATTATCGTGGCCGCGACGTTGTCTGCAAAGCCCGTTAGCTCTACTTGCTTTGGTAACGGAATCTTAAGAAGCTCATCATAGTCCGCGTTCCATAAATCGGGCCCCATTATTGAGCCTTGCGGCACGCCAGCCTTTATGGCGTATTCTTGTGGCCCTTCTGTAGTTTCCGCTATTAGCTTTCTATCTTCAAGGTAGTTGTCGATTAGTACCAAATTCTCTGGCTTTACGTCAAATTCGCGTTCCAGAGCGTCTAGGATATCTCCCCAATTCGCGCTCTTAAATGCGTTTTTGACATCTAGCGTGAGGAGAATGCATACTTTACGAGCTTTGAGGCTACCAGTCCATGCTTCTCTCGCTGTCCCTACGACTTTCTGGATCGCGCCGACTGTTGATCTCTTGCCACAATTTCGCTTTGCTTGCTTTGATTGCCCAGTTTAGGTTCTTTTTGGCCTGCTTATACTCGCTCGAAAGTAATTCTTGATTAAGGGAGCGTTTCGCAGCTCTCGTTGCTAGCCGAGGTTGTTTGTGGCATTTTTTCCGGAGTTCTGCTATGTCTGGTGACCACCAGTACGCCAGCCGGTGGAAACTCCGAGTTTTCAGCCGCGGCATAGAAGCGTCACATGCGGCAGCAATCTCCTTCATCGTGTTTAGCACTGCCTTTTCCGTCTCGCTGCAGGTATCCGGAGTCGGGTTGTTCTGAAAAATAGACTAGCTTCGTGCAAGCGAAGCTTGCAGTGTCTTCGAATCAAGCCTCCTGACATTCCACTTCCGCTTAGAAAGGTCGCGTTGTGAAACCGATGCAGATTCCAATCCAACGTTGAATATCACGAACTGATGATCACTGCCACTATATTCTTCGGATACAGTCCAGTCTTCGATCATGTTGGTAGTCCTTGGAGTCACCAACGAAATGTTGAGGATGGACTCTTGTTACCCTGGTCTTCTAAAGGTTGTGGTGCTCCCGGAGTTCAGCACTATGAGGTCGAGTCTAGCCGCGACGTAAGTGACCTCTGGTATCGGAGAAAGCAGAGCCCCACTCAGCCGGTTTAGCGTTGAAATCTCCGGCTCCGATGACTTCGCCGTCGAACTTAGTGACTGCTTCTTCTATATTTGCCAGTTTCTGTCGGAACACACTAATCCCTTCGTTAGGTGAGAGATAGACGCTCATGAAGCAGGTTGTGGGGGTTTGAATTCAGACAAAACCTGCTCCACTTCCGCTGCTGCTGACGGTAACGCTCCTTGTGTTCACAATCCAAATTGCTGCCGTGCCAGTTTCGTCTGCGAACCATGTTTTATCTTCGATGTTTAGATATTGCTCACAGATGAAGCAGACGTCGATTTTATCTTCAAAGACACGCTGACGCAGCAGGTTTTGCGCCAAGGCGCACCTATTCAGGTTGCCTTGTAGTATGCGTGTCATTTCTGCGCTCTCGTGGCTTCTGCAAGTGCTGTGCGGAATGCCTTGCAAGCTCCAGTGCCAGAAATATGGCATAACCCATCCTGGGCATCTTTGTCCGCAGCACAAAGGAAGCATTTTAGCTTCTCCGTGCAGTTTACGGCCTTGTGGTTCTCTCCGCCACATTTGTAGCAGTACCTGCTTCTGTCTGGTCCCACACACTGACGTGTTTGGTGTCCAAAACCAAGACATTTAAAACAACGTGTTACTTTTACAACTGGGTGTATACGACAGTTCACCAAACCGATCATTATACGGGCCTTGTTAAGGGCCTTAATCGCACTGGCCTCATCTACTTCGCAGAAGGCTGCCCGATTGCCTCGTGGTGTGGGTTTTGTCAAATTTACCCGTTTGACCTCCAGGCTGTCAGTGAATTCACGTTTGAGTGCTTCACGGACTTCGCTCTCGGTAGAGATTTCATCCAAGTCGAGGATCTCGATCGTTGTTGTTGGTGTTAGCATCTTGACCGTGCCGATGTTTGCAGTGGTTGACTTTACTGCATCGGTGAAAGCCTTGCTGTCTTCGGTCTTTCGAGACATTTCAAGGAGAACGCCTTCATGTTTCGTCTTTTTAATAGACTTTATGTTTACGCCCGTCTCAGCAGAGCTTACCTTGGCCTTGATTTCCTTGAGCAGATCGGCGTACGTTCGCCCTTCAACTGGTTGGACAAGCAGAGCTTTGGTTCTTATCTTCTTCCTCCTCGGTTTCTTGGAGCCACCATTGCTTGGCTGGTTTTGGGCTGTAGCAGATTGAGCCGCTGGCTCCTGTTCTCTTTCCTTCTTTTTCTTTTGCCAAGTCACTTTAGTCCAGGTATCTTCCCGGGCTGTCGTTTTCTGTGCTGGCTTATCATTGACTGAGGAAGGGCTGGGCGTGGACAGCAGCCTCTTCTTGTTGTTTTTCTCTCCTTGCTGTTGTGGTTTCTCAGGCGTGACCGAAGGTGGCTGTGCTTTTGTAGTCATCCACAGAGATGTATGCGTTTGTCCTTAATGAAATCAACTAACTCTTCGATCTTGCTGCCGAGTCATTCCATTGGTGATTTTTGGCCGGTGACGGTCGGTAGAGAGTTGATCCTTTCTCGGTGAGCATGAGTATTAATGTGAGCAATAGGCCCTCCACTCTCTTTAGAAACGTTGCTCGGCTGTACGTCTACTTCCATCTGAGCTGTTGTGTTACACCCTGTAACACTACTAGATAGCGAAGCCATGGGGTCTACCCTGATGTCCAAACGGTCGCTTGATGACGACGAATTCAGGCCCGTTTGCATGCCTTCCCTCGCCGGCACTGAGGTATCCCTCCCCTGTGCGGTAAACGATAACTATAAATCTTTTTTAGAAATTCGTAACTTTTTTTGGGTTGGGTAAAAAAATCTGAAAAAATTCAGAAAAATGTCTTTGGTAAGGTAGAAAATGATAAAAAATTTTCAGCGAAATCGAAGGGGGTCGGGCCGAAACCTCGGTGATTTGGCATGGAATGCTATATATATGTTGGAGATGAGAATAGCTGGGTTTCTCCAAAGGATATCTGGGAAAATCCTAAGTACTTTTAGTTTATAGCTAGAAAATAAAACTTAGTATTTTAATTTTATGATTTAATCCGCTAAGGAAATTTTAGTAAAACTTTCTTTAAGTCTTTTATGACGGTAGGCTCGGGTTCGAAAGATTACATCTACGGGTCTAACGTAGCCACGGTCGAGGGACAGCAATACCTAAGTGTACATCATCGAAATGTACAATTGCAGGACGTAGCTTGTATATTTTTTCAGAATAATTACCTGGAGGAATTACGGATTGAAAATAAGTTTTGAGAATAGTTAGTTCTCTCCGAACATTAAGAGATAACGGTTTGCTGTCTTTCTGATCGTGGATCCGTTCTCTTATCCAAGTCTGTCGTCGTTTTATTATTTCTAACGTTTAATATTAACGATATCTTATTTTGTTAATATTGTTCATATTATTAGTTCAGTGTGTTAATTAAAATTATAATTGTTAATAATTAAATAATGATATTAAATTATACTTCGAGTGCAGTGACTATATAATATTGTGTGTGTGTGTGTGTGTGTGTGTGTGTGTGTGTGTGTGTTGTTTTTTTTTTTTTTTCCTTTAGGGGGGGGAATCCTTTTTACGGATTCTAGGCATAGTTATTGGCCTGGATATGTGGCGACTCGACGCAGCGTCATACTAAAACTCGACGCTAACGCCTCTACCCACTAAACCCTAAACCCTTCCTTCTTCCTTCTATCCATCCATGGAAACC